CAATTATGCTGAGTCAGGCTTGATTTTTAATAATCTTTTCCTGTTAAATAAATAAATCAAATCAATAATCATCTTTTTTACATATAGTTTCAAATGATTTTTGTTTTCTACAATCTTAATCTGCTGTAAAAAGATCTGAAAGTGTTCACACCTGCTGAACTCACTGGTTGTAAGTGCTGTTTGTTTTTTAATCAAACCTTGAGATGAAACAGATGAGCTGAACTGAAACCACTTTTATTTTGCAAATCAAATTGCCTGCATTATTTTTTTGTGTGTTTTTACTCTTTTTTAAAGCTGTCTGGTGCAAATAATTAAAGGGTTTTCACCAGTAAACAATTAAACATGATTTCTGTCTTTTTGTGTGTCAGATGAGCTGCCCTACCTGAAATGCCCCCTCCACACGGTTCTGAAACTTACCCCAGTGGCCTACGGTCAGTTTCTGTTTACACACGTCTTTCTTCTCCATCATAACTTCTCTCCTGCAGACGGGCTGTAAGGCTTTGAAGTAAAATTTCACATTTTACATTTGATTAGTTTGTCTTTGAAATTAATTGTAACATTTGTGATTCAGTTCTCACCAGCTGATGCATTATCATCACTATTTTCTGAGTACTTTCTGCCATTAGAATGGACTGTAAAGAGAAGCATGTTAATATGAGCCCCACACTGTCTGTACAACACAAACTGAAACATWTCTGTTTAATCTGATCTCAGGTTGTAGAGTGGAATCTGTCTTTCTTAACATTGAAGCTGTCAACACACACCGGGACCGCCCTGAGGTAAATGTACATTGTCTTGAAAAGCTTTTCATATTTCTGGAACTTTCCACATTTTATCATGTGTCAATCACAAACTTCAAAGGATTTTTTTACGATTTTTTTATTAACTCTTTACATTACAGCAGAATGACAYGTTACATTGTTTTTGCTTTCACTTTTTTTTTAATTTTCACCCGCTTCGGATGTTATCATCCATGAAATGGACGTTATTAGGCGTTATCAGTCCCCTAGAATGGCTTCAGAATGTCCCGCCTGTGCCGGTTAGCAGGTACCCCGTCCCATAGAATGGCTTCTGATTGACAGCTGGTTAACATGAGGCATAAAAAGTATGGTTAATATTAGGCTTAAAGCCACCAAAGTTAACCTCAGAGCATATGACATGGTTAGCACTAACCTCCGACGGATGTATATTGTGGCCTCTCAACAGGGCAATGGGTAGAGTGTCGGACCAGAGAGTGGGAGAACAGGGCCCGAGTCCAATAGGGACACAAAAAATTTATTACAATATGTTTTGGTTATTTACACATTAATTGTCATTAATATATTAACCCACTAGAGGGCACTGTCAGGATAGTTTGAAGCCTAGAAGGCACAGTAGGGACCCTCTGAAGCTATTGAATGGGACTGAYAACGCCTGATAACGTCCATTTCATGGACTGATAACAGAATCCCCTGAAATTTTAGTTAAAAAAACAGTAACAACAAAATAAAAACTTGGGTGAGAGGGAAACTAAATTGCAATCACATCATTGACATGAATGTTCAAATCTGTGCACCAACATATAAATCAGTAGGCTTTATGTAAGGTCCGTGTACTTTTTAGTCATTCCATTTTTTTTCTTTTAAATGGATGGTTATTTGATTTTTTAATTTTAAAACATATTGAAAAATGAAAATCTGATTGTTTGTTTATCATAGAACCGTTTCCATCCACTTTGTGTGAATGTGACGTTACAGTAAGATGAAGTTTGTTGTTTAACATAACAGCAAACGCTTGTGTCTGAGAGAGGAGAACAAACTTGGTTGAATTTTTCAGTTGGAACTTGAGGCGTACTGGTGCATCAGAGATTACTCAAGATATTTTCCGCTCCCCGGGGAGAACCTCTCTTTTCTCTCCATAACCAGTCCACCAATGTGCTGCAGGCATTCACACACTGATGGTGGTAAGATACACTGTAGTCACAGCTGCCCAGGGGCACACYGACAGAGGTGGGGCTGCCATGCACCGGCGCCATCGGACCCTCTGACCACCATYAGTAGGCGAGGTGGGTGAAGTGTCTTGCCCACGGCTGGACGGGGGATCGAACCGGTGACTTTCATGTTCCAGGACAACTCCAGATATCCCTCTGTCCTTCGTTCGGTGGTGGTTCAGGTTTGAACCATCTCTTGAGCACCTTTTTACTTGCAGCCAGTAGGAGGTAAAAATTTTGTACCATTCATATTAGTTATAAAAAGATGTTTTCAAAGGTTAAAAGCAAAGACAAATGAAAAGACATTCTGTATATGTTCATGAATGGCTCAACAGTCCCAAAAATATAAAAATGATTGGCYCCATCTCCCCACATCTCCAACAAGTTGTAGGGATCTGTGTCTTGTGTGCTGCCTCCCTCTTGTGTCCTCTTTGGGTCATCTCCTCATGTCTCCTCAGCCTGTTTCCTGTTAACTCACCTGTCAGTCCTCGGTAATCAGTCATCCTCAGCTGTTGCTCATCATCCTCATTCCTCTGCTTATATAGGACCAGAATCAAATCATGAAGTTACTGGAACAGACTTCTAACAAAACAGATATTTTCTGTGGAGACTATAATATTGACCTGGGAAATAAAACAGAGACAAATGATATTGGTACATTTATAAATTCAATGTACAGTTTAAATCTTTATCCAAAGGGACTTGGATCTGACGTGTGATCGCTGCGGACAATCCCCTGCCACACTTCTACACACATTCTG